ATGCTTAGCTCCATCAAAAATCTGAATGAAAACAGTAAAGAGTCCTGATTGATAACTGTGAATGCAAAGTAACTCAATGTAACATATATAACACAGAAATTTCTAACAACATACTTCAGAAACAGCCACTTAATACAAACTGATATAAAGATGCCCTGTTTAAATTGATCATACAAACCAACTAATCCAGGTACAGTCCTCACTACATCTAAGAAGGACTATGACCTTTATATAGTTTTCTGCACTCTCCAGGGTAAGAAGATAGTACTTTGTATGTGAATGAATGCACACTCCCCATCAACCCAAAAGAGAGATTAAAAAAGGGGTAAAAACAAAGCATGCAGCCACCCATCCACCAGCATCCAGCAACTTTCAAGAGTGGAGTTACAAGCAGCTCATTTAAAGTTTGGATCATATACTGATCTGGAAACGAAAAGAATTTAATTTTTTCATTTTAGCATTGTAGTTGGATAGGTGAAAAAAACAAACCAAGTGCTTCAAAGGCTATTTTGTTAAGTTGGATAGGTAAAAAAAAAAAACCAAGTGCTTCAAAGGCTATTTTGTTACAAAAGAAAACTGAGAAAAAGAAGAAAAGGAACAGCTCTGACCATTTGGGCAACAAAAATGTTTAGTCCATGAACTGAAATATGAAAGTTGCCAGCAACCCTTTGGACATCTAGAACGCCATAAACCTGCAGAAGATATGCAAACTTAATTTTCCCACCTTTCAAGGTGTAAAGTAACAATTTGACGAACATAATACAGGTGTTGAAAAGCAATACCCGGCATCCTTCTCCATTTGCCAATGCTTGCTTGACCTTCTTGATCATAGTTTCAGCAGCATCATCAAAGCCATGGGTATGCTCTTCTTCATGGGAATCCTTGTGATGATCTTTATCATGATCTGATTAACGTTGTTTTGAGATATCAGCCAAATTAATTAACTTGCTATGCTAAGGGAAAAAACTTAATGACCAATACTAAACATAAGACTTGTTAATAACTAAAGTAGCTTAGTTATTTGGACCAAATCTGATATGTTTATTAGTTTCAAATTTCTTATCATTCCCTTTGATACCAAGTTCTAATAAAACCACGAAAAAATCATGTTTCCCAGATGCTTCTCACAGAGAATGATGCAAAAACAATCATGCTATATAAAGGTCATATAAAACAATTATGTAATAAATCAAAACTGGATCCTGAAAATGCAAATAAATTTCTAGCATGCCAGAAAATTGATGTTACCATGATTGTGAGCTTCATGTTCCTTCTCTACAAGGTCTGATAAATATTCAGTGCCGGTGATATGGCCATGACTGTTCAAGCGAAGCTGTAAAAACTCTATCCTGGTTAGCAGCATGCCAAATAGCAGCTTCTATCATGCCATTAATGGATACAGACATGAGCACACATGGCTAGTTCATCTAAGACTCATATGCCAAGATGCTCATAACAGCTCTTTAGTAAATTAAAAAATTTCTAGGAAAAGAAGGGGGAAAAAACATGAAAAAAGAAATTATCCTACTTTCCATATGTTTGTATCCAGATCCACTTCATGCTTTCCTGACATGTCAATTGCATCCACACTCAAAACTGCATATGTGGAATAAAAGAACCTTGAGAAAAGTGGGAGCATTGAATTACCAAAAGAGATGACATAAAAAGATATCAGTAAGAAAACAGAAGTTGCTTCTAAGAAGGAAAGTGAATTGCTAACCATCACAAGGTAAAGAGGGAAATGTAATATTAACGTGAATTGGAAGAATTTCTCCACGTTGCAAGTCTACAGACATCTGCAAAACACAAGAAACACCAGGAAACTTAGATCCTCATGAAATATAACATAAAAAGCCCGGTCAATCAAGTTCAGCAGGAACCTATACAATTGGGAGAATGCCATGAGCCAACTTTTAGAATTACATTATAGTCTTGGTAAGACAAGAACTACACATTCAAGCTCTTTTCTGCTTGCATTCTTTTGTTCAACTGACAGAAACCTCTTACTGCTTGGAAAACCATGCCTATGAATCACCACTGCAGCTTAGCTCAAAAAGGCTAATAATGATCATTCTCTTTTGGAGTACATGTTAAAGATTAGATGTTCCTCAATTTACACAAAGCCAGTTTCTTTCATGATATGTGGTTGTGTGGGTATTTCCTCGGCCATGACAGCGGAGGTCACCATATGTGGAGTTCAGGCAAGGGTTTGCCACACATTTTCAGAGTTGAGCTGTCCCAGATTAATTAATGCAAATGTTTCCTTGCGATCATTACAGGCTTTAAATCCAATTGGTGCTGAATGCAAGTTGTCCGGTTACTCAGAAAGGTGCGGGGGTTGATGAAAGCGGTATTATGGCATCATAATCCATGCTTTTTGAAGGTCTGTCTCAGTGCTGTAAGTATTACATAAAGGAATTTATCTACTTGAAAACAAATCGATGAAGGTCTAGAATTGGAGCACCTGGTGGACTCACATCATATCTAAGAGACAGCCAAACATGCAGAAGGGAGATGAGGATTAAGCACTGACCTGATGGACCGTATATGTAGTAAGATAATATGCCAATTCATGGTAGAACAGCGTGGCCATTATAACTAGCCCAATGACGGAAACTACAAGAAACAAGAAGAAGCGAAACCAACATCGTAAAACTAATATTCAAAAGACAGTACAGACACTGAATCTAGATTCAATAAACACTCCTTTTCGTTTCCTAGATACAATATTGCATGCATGATTGCAATAAATGGTTTCAGTTCAAGAATTTCTCTTACATTATGATCCACCACAAACAAAGCTAAGAATGATCATTTATATGATTTAACACATCTTTTATCGAAACCCATTAACAAACTACTCATGAAAATTAGTTATCTTTGCATTTTTCCATCATAAATCACCCGCCACGCTACAACCACTCAATCTACACACCCCACTAGAACCTTAATTGAGTAAAATACTGCCAATACAACCATTCCAAGCTTAAAACCCACCTCCACTGCGCGAAAAAAGATAACTTCCTATCTCAAATTATGTAAAAAACAAAAAGAATTCAAAAACGTTAATTTACCAAGAGCCCCAGATTGTGTCTTTTGCAACAGATGCTCTTCCGCGCGGGGAAACGCATCCAGTCTCTTTATAGCTTGTTTCACTCCCATCTTTTTTACCCTTTTACAACACCAAACTGTCAGCTGCATAAATTAATGGATCACAAAAAACCCACATCAGAAAACCTTCAAAGCTTGCTTCTTTTAACATCGAAAAAATATAGAATTTAGTGAATTATGAGAAATTAAGGATCCCCAGTCAAGTTTATTACAAATTAATAAAAAAATCCACCAAAGGGAAGGGTCCAGACTATAAATGGTGATTTTTTTGTTTTTGGAAATATAAAATAGAATTGAGCGTCGGTGATAGATGGTGAGGAAACGTACATGAAGAGAGATTCAGGGGATACTCGGGGGGAGAGAGAGAGAATCGGGTTTTACGAGGGAGTCGAATTGATGTCGTTTTAGTTGGATGTTTTTCTGATTGGACGGGCCTTACTTTTGCATTGCAGAAAGGTTCCAACAGGGCTTCTGAGTTGAGTTAAAATATTTATTATTGTACGGAGATATATTAAAATATTTTTTTATTTTTAATATTTGTAAATTAAAATTAAAAATTAATTCAATATTTTTTTAAAATAAAACATATTTTTCAAAAACAGAATTTATCTTACTCTCACATTTGTACGTGATTGATAAAGTTATGTATATTGTTTTTTGGTTAATATAAAAATATATAAAAATATTTTTTTAATTTATCTTTTCGAAATGCAAAAATAAAAAATAAGAATAAGCATAAGACATATATAGTATCTCATTTATAATTGTAAAATATGTACTAGCACAGTAGCATGGGTTATTCCAGGATCTAGAAGCTAATTCGAGGCACGGATTGGTCTATGATAAATAAATAAATAAATAAATAAATTTAGACGACCCAGTCAAAGTTTAATCTTTAATCTATTAATTTTTTTATTAAAATAATAATTTTTTTTTCAAGTGTTTACTTACAACTTAAGTTTTGTCTTGAGTTGGATTTATTACTGCGATTCTCCAATATAACTTAAACAATCTTTTATCTTGTATATATTTAAAATAATTGATTTGAATTTATATTTGGATTTCTTATATCTAATCATGAGAATTATTGATAAATTCTATATATATATATATTACCATCAAATATTAATTATAAATAATTTTTTTTCAAACCCGCTACTTTTGTTCTCCAAAAAAAAAAAACTTTATTATTATATCAATATTATTTTGCTCATAAGATTAATATATAGAATGCTCAAACACCTAATACAAACGCCAAGAGAGACTTGCAGTTATAATTATTTTCACTAATATATATATAGCTTTCTAAACCAACCAACCAACCAACCTCTTAGACTCTAGTTCCTTCCCAATAAACTTTTTTATGAAAATTTAAATTCAGAGAATTCAATTTGGACGTTTATGGTACTGAAAATAATTTTTTTTAGTACATATCTCTTCTTTAATAATCAATTTGTATAATATGAAATGTTTTATAATTTATTTAAGTATTACTGGTTTTTTTTTTAACAAAACAAATTGCCCAAAACTTACAATAAAAAGACGTTCATATTTCAAATTGGTTTTTGAATTAGCTTTTATGCATCAGAATCAATTATTTATTTTTAATCCAATCTTAAATATGCAATTCTTTGATATACATTAAAAAATATTATTTTTTCTATTCAAAATAGTTATAAAAACTGGCTTAGCTTGCTGAATTTCATCTCAAATCAAATTATTTTTTTTATCATATACACATCATTTCAGTACTTTTAAAATTAATAAAAAATTTAAAAATAATATTATTTTAATAAAATAAAAAATTTAAAAATATCATTATTTTAATAAAAAAATTATCTCGTTAATCTAACCGGACTAACCGGCAAGGTTTTAAACCGGGTCAGAATACTGCCCAGGTCTCATAACAAGGGCCTCAAAACCCACAAGTAAATTACCAGCCAAGACAAAACAGTGACCGTTTTCACTTCAACCTCCTTAAGGCGGTTGCTGTAGTTGAAGTCTCGTGCCTAGGTTGTCTGTTATTAACCAGCGGCAGATATGGCAACTGTAATAATAAAGAGATTAGCAAAATCTCCTTTTGTTTTGATTACTGTTTTAGTCACTCTTGCTGCTTTCTCCTTCACCCCCAGATTTCCCTTCAAATCCTTTAGCAATTCTCTTCAACAACAGGTCCAGTTCCCCCCCTCTTCTCTCTCTCCTGTTTTTTTTGGTTTAAATTTTGTTCTGATGGGATTTTTTTGGGCTCAAATTGATTGAATTTGAAGAGTTTTAGCTCAATGAAATGACCTTTTTGGTCTTTAAAACATCAAAGTGTTTGGCTTTCGTTGTTATTACATGACCCAAATGGTTAAAAAGTCCAACCCTGAATGATTTTTTTTCTTTCTGGAATTTGAAACCCCAAATCATGAACATGCTTTGGTTGGCTTGTGGAGACTGTAAATGATATGATCAAATTCCCAACATTGACTGTATATCTTGAAATTCTAGAGATTGTTCACTGCTGAAGAACTTGCTTTGTACAATGGAACTGATGATACATTGCCCGTCCTTTTAGGAATTCTTGGGTACACTCGTCTCTCTCTCTCTCTATATATATATACACACACATATGTTTTCTTGTTCGTGTGTTCTAAATTTGTGCTTATATGAATCATTGAGCTTATTACAGTGGCTGATTTTGATTACTTGTTTTTAAATTAGATCTGTGTTTGATGTAACCAAAGGAAAATCTCATTATGGGGTAGGAGGGGGTTACCACCATTTTTCTGGAAGGTTTGTTCTCCCCGATCTTCTCACTAACTCTAATCTCGTCGCTCTATTTTGCAATTAAGTGGCTCCTTTTTGCTGTTTCGAACTGCCGGTTTGGCTCGAAACAAAAAATGCTCTATAACCTCATTTCTGTATCACTTTTAGTTTGATGGTGTGAAAATTCTTCCTCATTATCACGTGCTTGAAGACATTAGAAGATTTTGTGGAATTAATTGGCTGGTGCAAATTTCTGTGCAATCTCTTAAGTGAATCTGCATTTAGTTACTTTTGATTGTTCTATGAATGTAGTAGTTCCTATGATTTGCATAGCCGTGGTTCTTGTAATGTTCACTTATGGAGTACATGCAAGCTGCACAAGTTTTGATGGAGTCAAACCTGGATATCTATTTTTTTTCCCCTACAGCCTACTGATTCTTCTGCTCGTGCAGTTTAACTTCCATCAACATCAAGAGCATTGTATTTCGTTCTTGTGAACCTAAGCTTGTTTGTGTTCTTTGATTCCCAAGCTCAGCAAATACTTAAAACACTTCATAGTCCCCGCTCTCAACTTACCAATTTAAATTATTCTAATGATTGTTTGGTCTGTGGCTGGCCCATTGATCTATATAATAACAATCAGTTGTTCTTTCTCCTGTTCTCTGTTTGGTTAAAAATGAATTTAATACTGCAGCTGACTACTTTCTTATTCTTGATGAACTTAGAGATGCTTCTCGTGCATTTGTTTCAGGAAACTTTACAGGTAAAACCTGTCTCCTATTATCATATATATATATATATATATATTTAATCTGGGCTTCAACAATATGATTTTTGATGTTTGTATGGATGATTAAATTCAACAGGCTCCCCCTTCTCATGCTTTCATCTTGAAAACCCATGATTCCTCATTTTCCACCTACCAACTAACTAATCACAACCATTCCTAATGATATTAGTTTGTTGTTGTTGAAACAATTCCTATGAATAGGTTCTCAGGTCTCAGTAACTAAGCACTCATCTAGATTCCCATCATATTTTAAACATCAACTCCATAAGTCTGTCACTCGTATCCCATCAGAAGTCCAGCTGACTTTTCCCTTCCATACTAATTTGCCTTTGTCCCTGAAAATGAATTGCCTTTGCAAGTATATTTATCTCCTCTTCCCATTTTATGCAGGAGATGGACTCACAGACTCATTGCGTGGTTTGTCGAGTACTGAGGTAATCCCCCTCATGTTCCCTTTCCTTCAGGCTGAGGAATGTTTGTGTATATGCACTGCAAGTCTGTGCGGCATAGCCCTACTATGACCATTTTCTATGTCAAAGAACAACTCCACCTTGTTGCATTATTTATAGCATATAGAAAGGTAGTTCAAAGCATACAGTTCATCTTGGAAAAATTTAGTTATTAATGAGCATATTGGACATTGTCATTGGTTTGGGCACAGTTAAAGGATGACTACCATGCCATGCCATGCCATGCCTGTGCATCATCCTTCATTTTCTGTTTAAAGCTTCCATATCATTTTAAGAGTTGTTTTCTTTTTAAACTCTCAAAAAGTGTCAAAAAGAAAATAACATAAACATCCAACTTCATTTCTGTATTATGGATCAATTTGTTAAACTTTTCATACCTGCTCCATGCTAATGTTGGTATATGCTAAAAGTTCTGTGCTGTATGATTCAATTATTGCCGCATCTGTAGGTGAAGAGTATTGTTGAATGGCGAGAATTCTACTTCAGAAGCTACACGTGAGTCGCAAATTGTCCATATTATGTCCTTTGAGCTTAGTATGAAGGAGCAAAAAGAAAAATCCGATACTATGGAGCTCTTATGAATTTAATATCTTTTCTGTTCATTCAGTTCTAAAAAATTCTAATAGTCTATATTGAATTGCCAAATTCTCTAAGATTATGTCCGGAACATTGGTGTTATCAGTAAAACAAGAGAGATAAAATTGGTACAGAAATCAAATATTCACTGAACAAGTACAACTCTTGATATTGACTTGGTGGTCGCAATCACAAATCCTGAATGTCAGGTTTGTTGGTAAACTGGTTGGTCGCTATTATGATGGTGAAGGAAATCCTACCAAATCTTTGAAGGGAGTTGAAGCAAAGGCTGCAAGAGGCACCCAGCTTCTGGAGAAACAGAAAAAAGAGGAGGCCAAACAGCCTAGTTGCAATTCGAGGTGGAGCCAGGGAGAGGGTGGAGAGGTATATTGATGCATTTTTTGCCTTTGCTTGACATCATATATTCTCATGATTAGGAAGCATATCTATTTTCTCTGTTCGTATACTTTTCAGTAGTTTCACTTTCAGCTTTGGGAGGTCTGGTGTGATGATGGCTTCCCAAGGTTAGTGCGGAGACCACTAGAAATTGCTTTGACTGGGAAGATGAGCAAGCGATGCGCTTGCTTTAAGGAAGATCAACTAAGCGAGACAGGCTAGAAGTGTATGAAGGATGTGATTATCTTTCCAAGACATGCCGTGTTTGAACTGGCGACACGATGCGTGTAATTAAATTATC